ATCAGCCCCATCCTGGCTCTGTCCCCCCTCCCAGGTCCCACCTCCTGCTCTCGAGGGCTCCAGGGATGGTTTTCCATGCTCACCTTTGGATTTACAGTACCATATGAAGCAAAACAATACAACCAAAAGAAGCAACCCAGTTCCACTCCCAGCTATGATGCTGAAGATCTTGATCCAGCTGCCGGAGTGGGCACCTGGAAAAGGAAGAAGATCCAGAGGCAACATCCCAAAATAAACCTGGCTCTTCCTGGCATTGGGGCAGAGGGAATTTGGCCTCAAATCCCACCCTCATCCCTCATTCCAGGAGATCTCACTCCAAGCCAGGGCAGAGGCGGCACTGGACAAGGACAAGTGTTGCGGTGTGATGTCATGGCTTGCCTCAGTTCCCTTGGCTTCTCCCTAAAATTTCCTTCCCCATGTGGGCTGTCAATCACCCTTCCTTTCCCCACCCTTGACCCCTGCTGGGCGCTGTCTATCAACCCAGAAATTCCAAGGGGACCCTCAAGTGATTGGCAGGTTCAAAGGATGCTCTCCACCCCCTGGGGGGCCATTGGCCCACCCAGGTGTCCCTCTCACCAGAGACCCCCTCCCCCTGTGCCTGGTTGGTGCTCCCTGGGTCCCCTCCCCTGCCCCAGTCCCCAGGTAAAAGGGCAAGCAGACCACACAGTCGGGGTTCTGTTGGGAGAGTTCTGGTGGAGAGTTCATTGGAGTTATTGCAAGATTCAGAGGCCGTGCCACCAAAATAAAAACTCTGGATTAAAAACTCTCCATCATGACCCGCTCCTTTCTTCACCTGGCCTCAAAGGTTTCTCCAGCTCAGGAAGGCCTGAAGAGTGACCCTCTCAACAGCAAGCTCCAGCCGTAAGCACTGGAGCTCGGGGCATGCCCGCACTTGTCCCCACGTGCCCAGCTGTGACCGCAGATACTGAACAGCGTCTCTGGGGAGAAAACTCCACAGGTGCCGCTCTTTGGTCAGCATCCGAGGCCAGACAGACCAAGGCAGTCCCGTCAGACAAGGATCCCAGAATCCCCAAATTCCCCAGTTACTGGGTCAGAAAGGAACTCTGGAGATCTCCCAGTGCTGGCAGAACGGGGTCACCCAGAGCAGGGGACACAGGGACACGGCCAGGTGGGTTTGGGGTGGCTCCAGAGGGGGACACTCCATGGGAAGAGGTTCTCAAACGGAGGTGGAACTTCTGGGGGTTGGGTTCGTGGCCACCACTCCTTGTCCTGTCCTGGTACCTCTGGGAAGAGCCTGGACATTCCCAGGAAAGGGATTTTGGGAGGAGCTGGAGGGTGCTGGGCTCTGGCTCCCCAGTTGCCCTTCCTGGCTGGACGTGGAAAAGCTGCCCTGGGAACTCAGGGACACTTGGGGACATTTGGGGACACTTGGGAACACTCACTCAGGAGTGCGGATGGACATGGACAGGGATGGCATCTTACCTGGGCTGGGAGGGTCCGTGGTGTTTGCTGGCAAGGAGAGAGAACAGGGACATGGGTCAGAGCTTCCCATCCCATCCCAGGGAGAGCCGGACCCCAGAGAGTGGGATCAGCCCAGCCCAACCTCAACATTCCATTCCCATCCCATCCCAACTCATCCCAACCCCAAATCCCAGCTTTTCCTGACTCTCAGGGGATCAGGATCAGCCCTTCCCACCTTTCCCCACCTGTCCCCAGCTCTCACCTGAGCAGAGCACCATGGGGGTGGTGATAGTGACATTCATGGTGCTGACGGGGTTCCGTGCCGTGCACGTCAGACGCTCCAGCTTATCCGAGAGTGATTCATTCACCAGCAGCATGGGGCCCTCAGCCAATAGCTGATCCCGCATCCCCCACCTGTGGGAGACGTTCCCGAGGCCAGCGCCGGGTGTGGAGCAGCGCAGGGAGAAGCTGCATCTCCCGTCCGAGCAGTTCTGGGCCTCGCAGGTCACCGTGGGCTCTGCCAGCTCCCCTGTGGGCACCGGGTTGTCACAAACCTCTCTTTTAGAGTAACCCCCCTACCCCCACCCCCAAACAGCACTAAAAGCACCTACTGTACACCTGGAGGTCGAAGGTGAATGTTTTATCCCCAATGGTTACAGAATAGATTCCGGCATCCTCCATCCGCACCTGGGAGATGCTGAGCACGTGGCCTCTCTCGGAAACAGCAAAATGTTCTTGGAATTCTTGTTTATGAAACACAGGTTGAAAAGGATCCTTAAGGTCCACAGTCACTATGGGTTCATTCCCAATAAACCAGCCTATTGCATTTCCATCTATGTTTCCGTCTATGTTGAGGATGGGGAGAGTCACGGTCCCACCCAGGACCCCGATCACCTCCACGGTGTCACTGGCAGGGGAGAGAAAGTGGGGAGGGAACATGAGATGGGGGTGGGATGGAGGGGAGATGAAGGGATGGAGGTGGGATGAAGCTGGGATAACCGTGGAATGCAGAGATGGAAGGCAGGCTGAAGATGGGCTGGAGGTGTGAGGAAGGGAGGCTGAAGATGGGATGAAAAGGGGAAAGAAATTAAGATGGGACCAAGGTGGGATCAAGGCGGGATCAGGGAGGGATGAAGCTGCTGAACTCTCCTACAGCTGGGCCAGTCCCGGGCATCCCCCAGGGGAGATCCCAGAGAAGATCCAGGAGCATATACTGGAGCAGATCCCAGGGCGGATCCCGGTGGAGATCCTGGAGCAGATCCCGGAGCAGATCCCGGAGCACATCCCGGAGCAGATCCTGGGGCAGATCCCGGAGCAGATCCCAGGGTGGATCCCAGAGGAGAGCCTGGAGAAGATCCCAGAGCAGATCCTGGGGCAGATCCTGGAGCAGATGCCACAGCAGATCCCGGGGATCCCCTCCCGGCTGATCCGGAGGCTCCCCAAGGGCACCGAACCCCAAATCTGCCTCTGCAACATCAGCAACCCGCGGGGTGGAGTGCAGCCCACACTCAGCTCACCTGCCCAGGTGATCTTCCCGTGGATCCCGGGATTTTGGGGGGCTGGGAGGGATCCACTGGGATGGGGACCAGGATTTAAAGTTTTGGAGTTTATAAGTGGGAAAAAAGTGTTTCCCGCACTAAAACCACTTAAGTATGTGTTTGTTTACATATAAAATTATTATTATTTATTATTTATAATTATTTACTTATTACTATTTCTTAAACCCATAATTATTTACATATGGAAATTAATTTATGTACATATATTACTCTATATAATACATTATATATATTATATATATATCCATTTATATAAGTTTATAGAAAACATAAACTTATTTATCTATCTTTAATCCAGTGTTATTTATATTTTTTTTATTTGATATAGGCAAAAAAATATAATTTTAGAGATTCAAGGAATCCTGGAATGTTTTGGGTGGGAAGGGACCTTAAATCCCAGCTCAATTCCTGGATTCTGGGATCCTTTTCCAGAAATTGCAGAGAATTTCAGCCACTGGACACTGCTGGCTGTGGCCGTGGCTGTGGGCGTGGGGCTGACCCTGCTCTTGGTGGGCAGCTGCTGCTGGTGGAGGAAGAGGAGGAAGAATTCTCGGGAAGGTTTGTCCAGAATATGGGGGCAGGATCACAAATTTTGGGGGTTTGACCCCAAACCACCCCTTGGAACCCAAATTTGGGAATTCTGGCCCCACAGAGACCCCCAGCACCCCCCCGGGACGCTCAGAGCTGACTGTCTATGCCGAGGTGGGAGAGAAGAAACCCTGCCAGGACCCCGTGAGTGCCTGGAATGTCCCTTCCTACCTAAAATCTGGGAATTTTGGGATCAGAAAAGCCCTCCAAGGTCATGGAGTCCACCCTGTGGCTGACCCCAGCCTGGTCACTCAGGGTCTGGTCATCCCTTGGACACTTCCAGGACCAGGAACCCAAACCTTGGGCAGTTTCCAGGCCTGACCAGGCTTCCCATGGGGAAATTCCCTCTGTGTGAGTATTTCAGGAAACCAAAGTTGATCCTTTTAACCATTCCAGGCATTTTTTGTGTCCCCAGGCCGGGATGGGGGAGGCCACCCAGGAAGGAGCCACCATCTACGCCGTGGTCACTCCCAGGACACTGGTAGGGTCATTCCCATGGGATCCCAGCTGATTCCCAGGCTGGCACCATTTTTAATCCATTTTTTATCCCAAAATTTCCCATTGTTTGTGCATCCCGACCCTTTTTCCCTGGCAGGAGCACCCCAGGCACCGGGAGGAGCCCGAGAATTTCACCATTTACTCCACGGTCCAGTTCGGCCACAAGGTGAGGCTGTCCTGAAGCGTCCCCAAGCCATGGGGACACCAAATCCATGTCCCCTGAGGTTCTGGGATTGTCATCCCACTTTTCCCAATGGGAATTTTTCCCCTTTTCCCCACAGCCTTCCTCCATCAAGAGGAAGAGGCTGGACCGAGCTTTGGTCTCGACTGCCTACTTGGAGGTAATGGAGAATCCACGGGGGTTTTTTGGGACCAAAAAATCCCCAAAATGCCCCAAATACCACCCATTTCCTTGCAGGATAACGGGGGTTACAGGTGCTTGGGCTTCCCAAATCCTGCCGACCACCAGCACCCCTAAAACCC